CCGCCGTGGGAATACACATGCAGCATTTGGGTTCCAGGTCCGGTCGGACAGGGACCAGTTCCTCATTCTCTTGGACATGAAGCACTTTCCCCCCAAGGATCTGACAGTGAAGGTACTGGAGGACTTCGTGGAGATCCATGGCAAACACAATGAGAAGCAGGTGAGCTTGGGCACACCATTCTTCCTGTGGGCTCTGGACCCCATAGCAAGAGACAAGTGAGACGATCTGATCTCGGCGTCAGCGAGATCTCTGGAAGCAAAGTCAATGTCTCCGTGCCTGCTGAATCATCCCTGTACTCAGGTGGGTAGGCAGGCAGGCAGGCAGGCGGGTGATTGGTTGTAAGTCCTGGGACCTGATGGTCTAGCTGAGAGCTTTGGACGTGGCCTCCTCTGATCTGTCACTGGCTCCTTCTTGATGACAGATCAGGACCAGGACTCCAGGGGAGCTCAGTGTCCACATTGCAACCCCTGAGCCAATGTACATACATCCCATCTTTGAACAGAGAGCCCAAGACAGTAGTGATCATTTGTTCATCTGTGAGTCCTCCAAATGTTGTAGGTGTGTGGACCATAGCACCTATGACTGGTGATCTGAGTATCTCAGATTTGTAGAGCAGAGCTGAGATCTGGAAGGTATGGCCTGAGGTCACACAGCTCATACAAGACAGACAGAGCGGGGTCTGTCCAGTGGTTACTCTCCCACTCACTCTGCCACATGACCTGCCCTGGATGACTCTTGCTTGTTTGGAGCCCCCTGGCACCTCTCTGCATGCAGGGGCTGGGTTTGGCTTTGGGAGAACAGAGAGTGGTGGTGTGTGGTGGAGCTCAGGCACTGGTCTGGCAGGGGATAGAATCTCAAAACCAATAGGTGTGCAGCTTTCCTAGGTGGGAGGGAAGGGGAGAAAGGTCTTGCTGGAGAAGTTAGCACTGGTCTTCATTCCCTTTGGCCCAAGTTTTATTGTTGAAGGTGTTGTTGGTGGTGCTGGGTGGTAAAACCTAACTCTACACTTGCTGCATCCCCCTCAAACTGAACCTGGCAAACCAAAACAATTTGGTTGCTATGGAATCAACTCCAACTCATAGTGACCCCATATGTGTCAGAGCAGAATGGTGCTCTGTGGGATTCTCGATGGTTAGTTTTTGGAAGTCAATGACCAAGCTTTTCTTCTGAGGCACCTATGGATGCACTTGAACTTTCAACCTTTCAGAATGCAGCCAACTGTACTATTTGCACCACCTAGGGACTCCTGGTATGGTGCTGCAGGATAAGCATTGCACTGCTAACCATGAGGTTGGCAGTTTAAATCCAAAAGTTGCTCCTTGGAAACACTATTCAGGGTTGCTATGAGTTGGAACTAAATAAAAAAAAACACTTGTTGTCGAGGTGACCCTGACTCCTGGTGTCACCATGTGTACTAGAGTAGAACGGTGCCCCATAGTGTTTTCGGTGGCTGATTTTCCAAAAGTGGGTTGTCAGACTTTACTTCCGAGGCACCCCGTGTTGACTCCATCCTGCAGACTTTTGGCTAACAGCTGAGTGTGGTATATGTTTGCACCGTATAGATACTCCAAGTATCTAAATAAGTTGTCTTTAAGCAGAAATACACATAAAAGAAGGTTGTATATTGATTGATGGATGGAAATATTGTCACCAAAGACTTGGAGGAAACGTGCCCTGTATTTTCCCTAGAGGGAACAATTCTGTATGTACTAACTCAGTGCTCATGGTGACTTTATAGAACATAATTACTGTGATGATGAGAACTAGCTGTATCTCTTGGGGAGTATTTAGTTTGGGAGCTGTCTCCACCCAGCCCCACTCTGCATCTGTAAATTCTATACCATATACGGTACAGGTGGAACCTTCTCTGGCATTAGGGCTTGGATGGTCACCTGCTGCAGAGGTGTCTTTGACCACACCCTTCCCCTTTGCCCACCCCCATCCCCCAGGATGACCATGGCTACATCTCCCGTGTCTCCCATGAGTTCCACCGTCACTACTGCCTGCCCTCCAACGTGGACCAGTCAGCCCTCTCCTGCTCCCTGTCCGCGGATGGCATGCTGACCTTCTTTGGCCCCAAGGTCCAGTCTGGCACAGACACAAGCCACAGCGAGCGGGCCATTCCTGTGTCCCGGGAGGAGAAGGCCACCTCTGCACCCTCGTCCTAGGTGTGGCGCTGTGCTGGGCTGCCTATTTGCAGCCCTCCCTTACACATTGATCCTGGGATGTTTGTCATTCCTTTGCTTTCCTCTCTTTGGTTTCTCATCCATCTTCTAAGATGGGACAGAGTTTGAGAATAGCCAGTAGAGCATGAGACCTTGGCCAGATGTGCGGTGGCCCTCAAGGTGACTCCTAAATCTCAATATCAGCCAGTAGCAGAAGTGCCCACCCTCCATTCTCCTGTAGACAACATTCTCATCCACCAGGGAAGGCGGCCAGTACTAGCTCTACTGAGAATCAGAAGGAAGAATTTACCAGTAAGTGCTTTGAGAAGTGGACCAGCTTCTAGGGATGGGGTGGGGAGAAAACAGCCCCTTGCTGAGGCATCTCAGGATGGCTTCTGGGTTTCAAGTCAGAATTATCTTGATGCCCAAAGAGATGCCTTCCCTTAGTGGTGCCTGTTTCAGGTCAAGGTGTTGGTCCTGCCCAGGTGTGCCCAGGTATGAGGCTGGCACAGCATCTGAGCCCTTGCAGAATGGGCTTTCACAGCCTGCTTCTCTCAGACCATTGTCCCTTGAACCTTCTTTCCTTACTTAGCAGCACTCTGGGGCACTGGTCACCTCAAGCACTCGTAGCCCGAGGTCATCAATAAAGAATGCTGACATGCAGCTGGGGTCTCTGTTCTCTGTCTCCACCACTGGCTAGTGGGCTGGCCACCCCCCACCCCCCACCCCGCTGTGTGTACCTGGCCTAGACAAGACCCTGGCTGCCTACCTCCCTCCCAACCTCTTGACATCCGACTTTTCGGGGAGGGTGAGGGTTTGGGGTGAAGAATCTGGACTTCAGAGGACTTGAGGGTAGGGTAGGAGAGAGGGTAGCAGGTATTTTCTGTCAGCCTTCCATGGCTGAGGGGCCAGGCTGTGTAAGGGACTGGGCTGTGGGGCCATGGTGGGGGAGCCCCCATCCTAACCAACTTCCTGCCTGAAGGTGTGCTTTCACTCTCTTTCCACCCTGACCCAACACTCCTCGAGGACCCACCCCCTAGGCATTGACTGAGCTGGTGGTCAGTACACAGCCATTCTGGTGGTCAGGGTCACACCCCAGGCTTGCCATGCTGGAGTGGGTCCAGAGCACACTCTGACCCCTGTCTTTGTGGAGCAGACATGGAGCCCGGGATATCTGGTGTGTGTAGGCACCAGGTGGTGGTGGTGATGACCCCAGAGCAGGTCAGCCCTCCTGCTGTCTCCTTGACTCCCCCAGGGGAAAGGAATGGGGAATCAGGGAGAATAGTGCTGCTTGGGAACACAGGCCACACTCCCGCTCCCTGAGATAATGGTGAAGGGAGGGAGGCTGCTGGGAGGAAACCTGGAACAACGAACAGGGGGACACAGGGGAGACAAATAATCCAAAAGGGTCCCTGTTCAATGTTCGGTGCTATTTTCAATGTTCGGTGCTATTTTCATTTAAAGTAAGCTCAGTCACTCACACTCATTCACACACTCACACTCATGCACACGCTGGCACACAGATACTCTCTTATGCTCACAAACCCTCTCACACACCCACACAATGATGCACCGCATATCTAGTTCCTTTCCTTTGGGCCTGGGCCCCTTGGAAACACCGTCCCCTTCACTGTGGGAGTCCTTTGACCACTCTCAGTACTCTTGCTCACCTCCTGGCTCCCAGCACCAATGGTGCTCTGCTCTACCATTTAGCCCACACGTGTGAGGAAGGGCTGCCATGGACAGGCAGGATAAGTGGCTATTCTCCTTTGAGACTGGAACAGGGTATTCCAGAACATCAGAGTCTCTGGGTCACCTGTCCAGTTCCTTCAGGTGAGCACCAGACCAGCGTCCTTGGTGGGTCCCCCTCCTGGAAGGCCAGGTGGGCGTGGCGTCCTGTTGGGCCTGCTGCAGTCAAACACTGCTATGGTTAGATACAGATGACTTCTGTTTGCTACGGTTCTTATCTGACCCTTCACTGGGAGACCACGTGGGGCGGTCTCAGAATCCTGACTGTGCACAGAGCACTGGGACAGAGAACTTACCTCACATGCAGGCTGCTCCCTCCCATAGTCCACCTGTCGGTTCCAGGGCTGCAGGCTTAGGAAGGGTTCAGTTGGTCCCTGAGACATGGGGACTGTGAGCCCGCTTTACCTTCAGGCCTCTGATCCAAGCTCCCGGGGCTTTGTCTTCACTAAAGTCTCTGAAATGTATACACACTGAAGACTCTGGCCAGGGGCTGATTTGTTTCTCTGAACTGTCCCAGGCTTCACAGAGCACCCTGGAAAACCTGCTCAGTGTCCCTGTGCTTCCTCTCTTGCCTGCAGCCAGCCATGGCCACAGCCTTGGGAAGCACAGTGGGCAGCTGCTGTCTCCACAGTCTAAGGGTCTGCTCTTCAGCAACACCTCCCGGCCTGCGTGTTAGTGTCAGACTAACATTCTCACCCCACAGCAACCCCAAGGTAGGCATCACTGTCTTCTGACTGGAATTGACTCAAGGTCACCCAGCCGTCCAGTGTCCAGGTCTAGAAGCATGGACCTCACACAGGGTTCATTCCCATGAACCCCTCAGGGGGTCCTGGCTCTGCAGGGTCACAGCCAGACCTGCCTGGTGCTAGCCCTAGCTCAGAAGGAGAAAGCACAGCTCAGGTTATGCTGCCTGGAGGTTCTCTGGAGGTGGGGGCGCAGGGTGGGATCTGACCTGTCCTCAAAGCCCCCGGCCCACACTCAGCACCTGTGCTTACCCAGTGTTGACTCCGCAAATTGCTTCAGGAAGAACTTGGTGTAGATGGTTAACACACTTAGCTGTTAATCCCCAGGCTGGAGGTTCGAATCCATCAGAGGCACCTTGGAAGACAGGCCTAATGATCTACTTGTGAAAAGTCAGCCACTGAAACCACTGTGGAACATAATTCTGCTCTGACACACACCGGGTTATCATGAGTTGGAGTCGACTCACCAAAATAGTTTGGTTTTTGGAAACCAAGAGGATTATCTAAATGAACTCCTCACCTCCACCCCGCCCAAGCTCCGAAGCTCACCTCCACTACTGGTGCTGGCCTGGGAGGCCTCACCTACATGATGGCATGGTGTCCTCTGGTCCTGCTGCCAGAGTCTCAGCCAGCTGGTACCCCATCTGCATCTCACTCACCATATCACTCTGGCAGACGAGGTCTCTTTGTATCTATTTTGCTTTTCTGGTGTGTTCTCCAACTCTGCTGAGATGAGTCCAGGTCAAAGGGTACCCTCCAATAGTCCCAGGCAGCTATGACTTAGCAGTCCATTCAAGAACGTGTGGCAGCCACCTCTACAGAACCTGGAATGATAGGATTGGTCAGTAGTCTTCAATCTTGCCAATGTGAGAATACACCAGAGTATTTCATAGAATCCTGTACCTGCTTTGAAGGAGCACTGGTAGCATAATGGATTACGAGCTGGGCTGCTAACTGCAAGATCAGTAGTTCGAAACTTCCTGTCTCTCCATGGGCGAAAGATAAGGCTTTCTGCTCCCATAAAGAACTGCAGCCTCAGAAACACTATACAGTGAGTCAAAACCCACTCCATGGCACACAACCCCTGCCATCACTCACCCTGACTAGACCTGGGTCAGAGCCTGGAGACATGGAGTCTGGATACCTGTGTCTTTGATAATCTCTCTGGGTGACAGACACCACTTGTCTGTCAGTTTGTCATACTGTGGTGGATTGTGTGTTGCTGTGATTCTGGAAGCTATGCTATGGATATTTTAAATACCATCAGGGTCACCCATGGTAGATAGGTTTCAGATGAGCTTCCAGACTAAAACAGACTAGGAAGAATGAAAGACGGACTAATTCCAAATATTTAGTCACTGAAAATCTTATGAATAGCAGTGGAACACTGTCAGCACCAGATTGTCAAATATTGAAACATGATGAAGAGCACCAGAATATTGTCAGATATAGTGCCTGAAGGTGAGCCCCTCAGGTTGGAAGGCACTCAAAATGCAACTGAGGAAGAGCTGCCTCCTCAAAGTAGAGTTGACAACGATGATACGAATGGAGTAAAGTCCTCGGGACCTTCATTTGGTGGTGGGACACAACTCAAAATTGTGAAGAGAAACATCCATTAATGATCAGAACATGGAATGTACAAAGTATGAATTTAGGAAAATTGGAAATTGTCAAAAATGAAATAGAATGCATAAACATCGATCTCCTAGGCATTAGTGAGCTGAAATGGACTGGTAGTGGCCTTTTTGAGCCTGACAGTCACATGGTTTACTATGCTGGGAATGACAAATTGCAGAGGAATGGTGGCACATTCACCATCAAAAAAGGACATATCAAGACCTGTCTTGAAGTACAACACTGAGATAGGATAATATCCATATACTTTAAAGGATGACCAGTTAATACCACTATTATTCAAATTTATGCACCAACCACTAAAGTCAGTGAAGTTGAAATTGCAGAATTCTACCAAATTCTTCAGTTTGGAATTGATCAAACATGCAATCAAGATATATTGATAATAACTGTCTAATGGAATGCAAAGGATGGAAACAAAGAAGAAGGATCAGTGGTTGGAAAACATGGCCTTGGTAATATAAATGATGCTGGAGATCGCATGATAGAATTTTGCAAGACCAATGACACACTCATGACAAATACCTTTTAAAGAAATAACATAAAGGATGACTATGACTATACACATGGACCTCACTAGATGGAATACACAGAAATCAAATTGACTACATCTGTGGAAAGATATGGTGGAAAAACTCCATATCATCAGCCAAAACAAGGCCAGGGGCAGACTGTGGAACAGACCATCAATTGCTCATAAGCAAGTTCAGACTGAAGTTGAAGAAAATTAAAACAAGTCTATGAGAGCCCAAATATGATCTTGAATATATCCCACCTGAATTTAGAGACAATCTCAAGAACAGATTTGATGCATTAGACACTAAAGACCAAAGGCCACAGAGTTGTGGGATGACATCAAGAAGGAAGAAAGCAAAA